GTGGAGGGGGGAGGAGAGCATAGATCAAATTTTTTTTTAAAGAATACATATTAAAAATATAGCATTTATAATAGTGCAAACTTTCACTCAACAGCAAGTCCTATGCATTTTATAATCCACAGGTCTAAGGCCCTGGTTAGAATCCCTGACTGGGCATCTTTGAACTTAAGTCGTTTTGTGGAGTTTTTAAGTCTTTCAACCCATTTTAAGGCTGTCAGCCCATTTGGCTCGGTCCTACCGGAGACGAACGTTGAATTCGGTGGTCCTGTCTCGTAAATAACTTTAAAACAGTGTTGTTAATTCGTCAACCCCATCAACTTACTTATTTAGTAGCCACGCACCCGGTTCATGAACAAAAGCCCAACCTTTTCCTTCTAAAGTGCTCCTGTAGTACTTTTCCGGTGTATCGCTCAGTTTTATCAAAAACTTTTTGTACTTCAGCGTCCTTCGAACGTGATTAAATAACAACAACAACAACAATAACATCAACAACAACAGCAACAACAACAACAACAACAACAACAACAACAACAACAACAACAACAATAACAACAACAACAACGACGACGACGACCACAGAAAAAAACGCGACTAAAAATACTTAATAACGAACACCAGAAAAAAATTCGAAGAAATGACGCCGATGAGACAGAAGACAGAAACCTTTTTATATTTAAAAAAAAACGATGTACATGAAATTGCACTGACCATATTTGGTAATGGTCTCCGTCAGTGTGAGGAAGGTCATGGAGACGAGCAGGTTGCTGATCCAGTTGGTCGCCGCTGACAGGGAGTTGCCAGTGGAGCGAGCCCAGAGGGGGTGGATCTCGGAGTTAATGGTCCATGGCATTGGTCCCATTCCTTTGAAAAGAGAGGAGAGAGACGATGTGTGTGTATGTAAGAGTGTGTGTGGTGTTGTGTGTGTGTGTGTGTTTGTGTGTGTGTGTGTGTGTGTGTGTGTGTGTGTGTTTGTTTGTGTGTGTGTGTGTGTGTGTGCACAGTGGAAATCATATATAACAGGCCCGGTAAGAACAGGGATCCGTTAATAACAGAGATTTTTTAAATCCCTGTTTTTCCTACTCTTTGTCTCTATTAAAAGTAATCGGCAATAACAGGGCCTCATCGGAGCCCAATAGGTTACAGCAGGGACAAGAGTTCGTTAACAAAGTGGTAAAAGTAAGAGAGAGAGAGAGAGAGAGAGAGAGAGAGAGAGAGAGAGAGAG